GGGCACTTTACATAGCACACACACACACACACATGGAGTTTGATCATTTTCAACCAGTCACTATCATTTTGATCTCCCGCGTCAATAAATGCGGCGCAGGGCAGACAGCGGGGCAGTGCAAGAAGAGAAGTCGGCTTCCCAGTAGCAATCGGCTCTTTCTCCTCACAAGCTGATCCCCGAACCTTGACCAAAGTTTGCTGTTATCTCCAACAGCCGGTTGTCTTACCATCTGCGGGATTAATTGAAGACGAGACGAACATGGTCACGATGGCGAGCAAGGCCAAGATTGCCCTCATACAGATGCATCCGAAGGTCGGGAATCCCCAGAATCACCTTGAAGCGGCTAGCTTATCCTCAACGGCATTGGTCGCCGTCTTCTCATACCCCGCCCCTCGCGCGCGCGCGGCGCGTGCCTGGTGAGAACTAGCCATGGATGAACAAGGTTCTAACAAGCATCACAGGCTGTCTCGCCAGAAGACAACTTTCGCAAAGCAGAGTCCTACATACGCAACGCCGCCTCGCAGGGTTGCGCGCTCGCCGTACTGCCCGAGTACCACCTCACGTCGTGGGCGCCGGATCACCCCGACTTCGTGCTGAGCTGCGAGCAGTCGGGTTCCTACCTTGGGAGTTATCAGGCTCTAGCCAAGGAACTGGGCATTTCCATTGTTCCTGGCACCATCGTGGAGCCGGAAGGTGAGGGAGACGACCTAGACTTGATCAACGCCGCGTACTTCATCGGACCAGACGGCGCCATCCTCGGACGCTATGAGAAAAAGAACCTATGGCACAATGAGCGGCCACATCTGACCAAGGGTCCTCAACCACATGGGGCGTTTGATACGCCGCTTGGCAGGGCCGGACTGCTAGTCTGTTGGGATCTGGCATTCCCCGAGGCGTTCCGGGAGCTGATTCGTGACGGTGCGAGGATAATCGTCTGTCCCGCGTTCTGGATGGCGGACGAGTATAAGCGCGGTGGCTCCGGCGAAGTGGTGAACCGTGATTCGGAGAAGGTGTTTCTGGAGAACGTGCTTGTGGCGAGGGCGTTTGAAAACACAGCGGCAGTGGTGCTTGTCAATGCTGGCGGGCCCGAGGGCGGGGTTGAGAGGAGGTGGGATGGGTCGCAGTTGAGGTATTGCGGTGTCAGCCAGGTCGCGATGCCTCTTATCGGGTCCATCGGGAAGTTGGGCGCAGAGGAGGCAATGAGCATTGTCGAAGTTGACCTGGGCTTGCTGGACGTTGCTGAGGGGGCTTACAAGGTGAGAGAGGACATGCAGAAGGAAGGCTGGCATTATGGGTACTCAATCACCAAGGAGTGAAGACGGCGACTAGATGGACCCGACGTCAAGGTACAGACAGATAGACTCATGACACAGAAGATGAGATAGGATCTCATAATGTTGAATTCATATTCCTGGGTATCAAAACATTGTTCCTCTCTCGCGAAACCCCACTTCTGGATCTGTAGCTGGCTCATAGCATTCCTTCCGCTTCGCCCAGGTAGTCAAGAAACTCTCTCCTTTGTTCAATCCGCTTCTGGGTATGCTTTCTCACCAAAAAGTCCCACGACTTCTTCAGCTTTGTGCGTTGCGCGTCATCTCGAGACTCTGAAATTTTGCGATCAACGCGCTTCAGTCGTCTGTCATCTTCCTCCGTCCAGACCCCTTCCCAATCTTTGGGTATAGATTTGTGCTGTTTCATATGCTTCAAAACAGCAGTAGCCAGCGGCATGCATATGGACGTCGAGATGAGCGCGGTAAGTACATCCTCACGAGGATAGCCGAACCCTTCGAAGCTTTCAATGAACCCGTCAAGCTGGGCAATTTTCTCAACACCTTGTGACTCGGGCTGGACATCTTCACCCCCCGCATGAATGACTTCTTCAGTTCCGGCTGAAAATTGAGATCTGTCGCGGGTAGAATCGTCTGGCTGTCGATGATGGGACTGAAAGCCATTATTTTGAAGGGACGAGGGAACCGGCGTTGCCGCCGCCAAGTCATCAAAAAGCTGCTGAGAAGGAGATATGTCGAAGCTGTCATGCTGAGAATCCGCCCGCTCATGGTCTTCGTCTTCGAAGCCAAAGTCTTGCGTCTCGGGCTCCACATGCCGTGCTCTGGACCCCCTTTGGACACCGGTTTCTCTAGATTCGGGTCTGCCTGCGGAAGTGCTTGCGGGTTCCTTTCCGCTGAGTGATGGACTGATATCAACCCCACTCATGCCGGCAAGTCCAATTTTCTCTTCGGGAGTGGGAGGTATTTCATCATTCGGGCCTAGACGATACCGCTTTTTGCGACCGTTTGGAGTAGATGGGGCACTAAGGCCGTCCATTTGGATGGCGGATCTCTTTCTCGAGGTACCAGGCGTGTTGGTCGGAAGTGAAATGAGAATCTCATCATCCGTTCCAGCGTCAGCCTCAGTCTCTGTACGCGGCCGTCTTCTCTCTTCGGCATGTGCTCCCCCTTGATCGACGATTTCTTCATCGCCCGAACCGTCGTCATCGTCATCATCACCATCGTCCAAGGTGCTGAAAAAGCCTTCGGCGTGCTCGTTGTAGCACTCCTTAAGGCGTCGAGAACTATCGCGGAGGAAGCCCAGCTCCTCCGTTATGTCTTCCCAGTCGAGTTCAATCCCGCCTCGGGCATAGACATTCCGAACGGTACTCCACAAAAGCCAAAGATCAACAGGACGACCGGATACGTTGGTATTTGGGTCTTGTTTTGTGAGATTCCGGTAATCCTCAAGTCGCTTATAGAACTGTTCTCTTGTCAAATCTTGGGACTCCGCTCCTTCGTCGTCGTGCTCTTCTTCTAATCTCTCTGGGTCAGGCAGTTGATTACTCCCTACTACCATACTTTTCTCTACAATGGGTGCAGATGATGGCTTGTTGGTGTGTTTGTTGCTGCCGACACTGGTACTCGCCGCGCGCTCAGGGTCTCTCTCATTCCGGCCAGACGCAGAATCGTGACCAACATTACCATGGGCTGGTCTAGCGCCTGGAGATGGCAGGTCAGATATAGGTTCGGCTTTAACAAAAGACTGTCTCAGGCGCCGCTCCGACTCTGCCCAGTGCTTCTGCCACGAAGTGGATGTATGACGGGGATACTGTTGCGGGTCAGCGATGTTATTCTTCCATGAAAGAGGTCGCAGTAATACCTTCTTGGCCAGATCTTGGAAAAGACCACTGGAGATCCTACCGCCCCGCCGTTCGAGCTCTGAAACGCTGCGCAACAATAGCTCATCGTCTTCCTTGGTAAACCTATTCCTAGTTGCCGCAGTCACCTGCGGATGTGCGCCTGCTTGTCTCGCAGCAGGTCTGAGTGACCGTGTAGTTTGAGGACTATCATGCCGAGGAGCTGATGCAGCGGGAGCGTCCGACGCGGGCTGAGCTCTCTGCCCGGTTCGAGGCGCATCGGGCAGAGATACTGTCGGGGATTGTGACTCGGGTGGAGCAGAATCGGCCAACTTGCGTTGGGCATCATAAGGTAATAGCTTCAGCTTCTTCACCCATCGATCTCTCCAAGAATGCCACGTATGACGATTGTTCTGGAAAACCTTGGATTAGCCAAGAGCTCAAATTAGGTAATAGGCGGACCTACAATTTGCTCGAATTTTTGATATATGTCATTTCCGCTCGTCTTGGTATGTGAGAGCACCCACCTGGCAAGCTCTGCGTCGTCGGCATTTGTGAAGGGGGTCCGAGTACCTTTGGCAGGCTTCGTTGACCCAACAGGACGAGCAGCCATAGGCGATTGGTTGATCTGGTACTTGTCTTCTTCCTGCATAGCGCCGTATTGGACAGAATCCTTGATGAACTTCCACGACAGCGAGTCTGGAGGACAGTCTCTTCTGACGTGGTCTGCGATCACCAAGTCGGCATGCTTGTCCAGTTTGACAATTTTCCCCCCATTTTGCTAGTTATATGAGCTTCTGAGATTCGTCAAAAGAAATAGCAAGCTTACTTTGATTAGGTCCAAGATTGTTGTTCTGCCGGGCACACGCTGTGTGACGAAGAACTTCTTCCCTTGGAATAGAGTGCCTTGAGCGCCTGGCACGCCCTCGTAAACGATCGCCGTCGACATTCTTGATTTTGAGTACAGTTACGGGGGTGCGTTGTGACTGCTTGCTATCTCGGATCTTGATTGATTCGCCGAACGAGCTTGGTTTCACTGTGTTCAAGACGAAAAATATGATAAAATGAGAGAAATGCAAGGTCCGCAGCCTTTTGTTTTCAGCGTCGAACAGATGCTTGATTGCTCAGATTCTGGTGGTTATGTTTTGGTGTAACGGTAAGCTGTGGGTGGTGGAAACTCGCCCATGCGTCGCCGCCTGCCGAGCGAGTATCCTGCCACAACAACTCAACCAAGCCTCCGGAAAAAGCTTCGCGCGTCGAGAACTGACGTCTCAGAGTTGGATAAGTCTGGTTATACGTGGCCTGGATTCGAGGGCTGCTGTGCCGTGCACTGTTTGTGGCCTCTTCTGTGTCGAACCGACGCGTAGCTTCTTAGCAGGCTCGTCGCGTACACCTGCGGCTGCTTGAATCTTTCTGGTCGCATTATGCATAAAAAAGGACATGTAGCTAAGGGGTGCAGATGCTATGACCTAGGAATAATGGATATAACAATACCCCGGCACCTAACATCAGACGGCAAGAATGATCTCGACACTAACCTTGCTGACGCTTTGCCTGCTTTGTTCTCGGGCCACGCATTCGAATTGACGAGAAAGAGTATTGACCGGCATAAACGTGTACCTTACACATCCTACGGCTCGCTATCCGAAGCGATTTGCAAGTGTTCTGAAGGCTGTGGGCCTAGAAGGGCCTGCCTCCACCGCTAAGAGGCTGATTTAACTGTTATTATTGCATTGACCAGGCTTCCTTTTCTACCTACACTTCTGGGTGAGAATCTTAGGTACAAGTCTCCAGGACCCGGTGCTGTGGTCTTCTCGTGTATCTCCGCTCATATAATGCTTTATTGGAGGTGACGGCAAGTTTCGGAATCATCATGGGACTTCTTCGGAACGCAGTGCTATTTGTGCTGGCCATCTCCTTCGTTGTCTTTGTGGCGTTTTTTGGCAGATTGCCGGCCTTGAGGTCAGTCATCATTGAGCTCCTCCGTTAGCGACCTGGAAGCAACGGGTTACCAAACACGGCGATGCTAGACGCTCTGGCTAACAATCCGCAGGCATACGCCCATTGCAACATTACACAGGATCATGCGGATTCATATTCCAAATGGTTTCTTGGCCATCGACAGGCTTCTGACGGGAGGGAGGTTCTCAAGCTCGATGTTGCGGTTCGGCAACTTTATGATGAATGACCGTCACCCAACTGTGGTCGTAAGTCGAAACACCAAGCTGACATCCCAAGCTGAGCTTGTTCGGCGTTGTTCTATGCTGACGATACTAGATCTTCTTCTTGGTCTTGCTTTCTGTCTCAGAGTATTTATTTCTTCCGACTGCGTGGCCCCAAATTTCGACCTTCCACAAAGTTGCCGGGTCCATCGCCATCTTTCTGCCTTACCTTTTCCTTTATCTTTCGGTCATGACTGACCCAGGTTACATCACTCACGAGAATCATGCCTACTACATGTCGCTCTACCCCTACGACTGGTCAATTTTCTTTCCCGGCCACGAGTGCAAGACCTGCGGTTTTCTCAAACCTCCTCGCTCTAAACACTGCAGCATTTGCAAACGCTGCATCGCGAAGCTAGACCACCACTGCATCTTCATCAACGGCTGCGTCGGCTACAAGAACCACCACTACTTCCTTCTGCTCCTTGCCACGACCGCCCTCCTCACGTCCTACGGTGGTTTCCTGGGCTTCTCCCTCCTGTCCAAGCGCATTGCAACCGAGTACCCGACATGGGCCTTGTGGCCGCCAAAAGGAATGGAGATCAAGGACTATCTCCTCATCTGGAATTGGGCACTCCAGGACAGTGTTGGAATGGGCGCAGTCACCTTGCTCGCTGCGATGATCTCACCATTGGTCTGGGGATTGTTCGCGTACAACGTTTGGCTCATCTATAGTGGCACCACTACGAACGAATCACTTAAGTGGTCCGATTGGAAGGCTGAGATGGATGATGGCTGTGCCTTCAAACGGAAACTGCAGCCTAACCGAGTAAAGGATAGACGGTACGAGCCGGAGCGAACGCGATGGCCCCTCGAATCACAGCAAGTGCTTGCAAGAACGGATGACGGCATGCCCCCTCCGTCGAACGTGTCCACGCAATCGGAATGGGAGCGAGTGTGGAAGTTGGCAGACGTTGAGAACCTGTACGACCTAGGGTTCTGGGACAACGTGGCAGACGTCTTCATCCCCGACTACAATTTTAATGTTAAGCGTGACCAGCCGACTGTCGAGGCTGTCGGGCGACAGAGGCACTCAGCAAGAGGAGCGCCTTTATAGTCATTCACAAAAGAAACTTTCGGAGAAATTAGGGCGGAAGACACGGATGTTTACTATCTATCATCGTATCATGCAAAGCATCACAATGTTTAATCAATACACGTTTGACTTTTACCTCGTATCGTGACCGTATAAAGTTGGCGTTGCGGCAAGCGTTGGTACTCTATCTTGTCTCATTTCAACATTTCTCATCTAATTCATGCACAGGCTGCTTCTAAGGACCGTCACTGCTCATCTGCTGTAGACTTTAAGACGTCTTTCGAGTTCGTGATGGCTGCCGACGTCCCCGCACCGTCCCTGGCTCAGCTTGTCAGCCAGTTGACGAGAGCTTCACGCTCTGCTTGCAACTAGTGTGTCATAACTAACCACGGAGTCTCTCGCTCTTTCCCTCGCTCGATAAGAATATTCAAAGAATAGTACCGAAACTAACCATATTAGCCTATAGTCGCATATCAGTCAGGATCTATCATCTTACCCGAAAGTGCGCTTGATGCTGTTGACGTAATACTCCTGCCAGTTGCGTCTCGTGGCGTCCTCCTCGCCAACAGGGACGCCGTCCCAGTTGACGCGCATCAGCGTCACGTGGTCGACATCATTCTGGTCGAATTCGATGTTCAACTTGGAAAAGTGACCCTCCGGCCACTGCTTCAGGCGCCAGCTCTGGACAATCTTCTTGGGGGCATCGAGCTCCAAGTATTCGCCAACGACGTTTCCGTCGAACAGCTCGAACTTGGCGCCCTTAATGGCTCCCTGGAAAACCTTGGGAGGCGCCCGGGTGAAGGCAGCGATGCGAGCAGGATCCACAAAAGTCTGGTACGCCTCCTCCGCGGTGGTGCGGAACTCAGCCGTATCAGTCAGGGTGACAGTGTTGACAACCTTGCCGCTGCTGCTCTTGACGCTCGTGGTCTCGGCAGCAGACTTCGCGGCTGAGCCATGAGGGTGGTACTTGGGTGTGGAGAAGCCGCTCGAAGGGTTTGAGCCCGGGGCGTGCTGGATGTCCTTGCCGTGCTCCGCAATCAGAGCGCCGGGGAGCTTCAGGAACTCCTTGCGCAGCTGAGGCACAAGCTTGGAGCGGACCAGGTCCTTAACGGGCTGCTTCTCCTTTGACTCTGAGTAGATGTCGATATCGAACTGCAGGATCGCTTAGCTATGGAGTCTTTGGTTGTCAGAGATTTCATTGTAGACCCACCACAAACTCGTCCTCCTCGGTATCGTGGGCGACCTCAGGAACGGTAATGGTACCTGAAACCTCAGCCTCGTCAGAGGTGGTGCCTGCTTTTTGTTAGCCAGGCTCAATCAAGCACGATTCACGGAAGAAGCAGTGGTGGACATTGTTGGTGGACATTTTTACAGGAGAAACAGAGTGCTTGCATTGCAGTAGAGACCTACCGGAGTATTCTAGTACGAGCTTAACATCGTAAATGGTGATGACCTTGCCCTTCCTCTGGCTGACGTCGACGTCGCCATCCATGCTCACAACCTTGCTAATCTTTGCCGTGACACCGCCCTCTGTGGACTCGACCTGCGTCAAGCTTTCCTCGAGGTATTGCTTCGCCCAGCCGGAAGCATCCTTATTGACCCAGTGCCAGTTGTTGGGGTTGTGGAGGACCATCTTGTCGGCGGTGACTTGGTTCTGATCTAAGGCTGTGAGTAGGAAAACGTGTGACTAGAGGTCCAATTGCTGGTTAGCGACTGGAACTATGCTTGGGTTTGCGAAGCGCGACGTGCGAAAGTATCGTTGAGTAGAAACAATAAAGTTCTCCGTGTGTCAGGGTTTGGTCGTAGACCGCAGCGTTTGTCATCAAAGATGGGAGTACAAAATCACTCTATGACTGGTGCCAGCTGTCGTATCATCATGTAGGAGAGAGAAATGGCGGGACTGAAAACAGCGCGGGGTAGATAAAAGGGAGGGGAGGCCTTACCTCAGTGTGGATTGGCGCGTTGGGTTGTCATGTCAAAGGAACGTTGTGGAATGGAAAGAAAAGGAAGGAGGAAATATATTTGAGCGACGGAAGGCTTTGAAAGAAAGCTCTAGAATTTTGACGGCCCTCCGCTATCCGCCGGCAGCAACACCAGGCAGGGCAGGCGGTAAATTGTCGGCCGTTTGGTTTGGCCGCCTTGCGGGAGACCCACCGGACCCACCTGGGCTTAGCTCATTCCCTGGCCCGTGCTTCGTAGGCACCTTCAGCTCCTTCCGGGAAGCACGTCCGCCTTCTCGGTTTCAAACGGTCGACATCGCCATGTTCACAATTGTGCGTCGCATCCGTCCACAGAACTCACTGGAGACCGCCTATGTCCCGTGGGCGCGCGGCTATATTTTTTGTGCACGTAGTAGATTTGCAATCTTACTTCGATCGAGGATGATAGTAAATAACAGTAACTAGGGACGGAAACCACGCCGACGACGACAAGGATCCGTGCTTCGGTTGGCGAGGTCAGAGGCTATCTTCCGTCCTATCTGGCCTGCCAATGCTTACTCCCAAGACCTTGCTCGGGCAGTCACAAGAAGATAATGGGTAGCTTGAATGTTTTCTCTAGATGCTATTTGAGGAACATGGTAGAGCATGAAGCCAAAGAGAATACAGCCATACCCACGTCGATCCGGCTATCTTGCATTTCGGGAAGCCCAAGTACCGAGTTGAAAATCCTACGCACGTACATCATGGAAACCTGTCTGGGTACATCTGTACGACGACCTCAACTTTGGGTGAGACGACTGACTTGCAAGCCAAGCTGCACTGCAGTTAATGTGGATGACTTCTAAGCTGTCTTCTGGAAGCCGGAGCTGTACTGTCCCGGTCGGCTGGCTACCACCCCAGTCATATTTCGAGAAATGCTTACTACACAGCACTGTTTGTTTGATGCCATTGAAGTACCCGTAGGACGTGGTATGGCACAAGCAGCTGCACCCACACAATGTCACAGTGATGAGAGAGAAGTCCGGAAGCAACGCTGCGTGAAGGTGGATCTATGAAACCTGCCGGAAAGACGAGCTGCATCGCTGCAGAGGCCGCGAACAACGCCACCGAGCCGAAAATAAGGTGCTGATGACCGATGTTGACGAGCGAGTATGTATCCGTACTAGGTATGAAACAACTGGAACCATGCATCTTGTAGAGCAGCACGTCGAGGTAAAGATTTCTTCTTCGGCGACCGAGGTCAAGCCCAGCAGATTCCGTTGTGGATGCGAACAGGCCGACTGGAATCTAGAATTGCAGCTCTCTTGTTGCAATAATTAGAAACATTTCTCCGCCTGCTCATTGGGGTCTCTCCCCGCACGAACACGTTTTGTAGGTGTGCCCTACCTTGGAAACTCTATCCAACCAAACAACAACACCTGAAAAGTACCTCATACTGACTGATGTTGTTGCTTGCTTACGTAGGCGAGCCATCCTCCCAGCCCCTCGACATTCAAAGGAGAACCAACAGGGCTGTCGAGTCGGTGAAGACGGCCCCCGAGGCCTGGCGAATGACTACGATAGGAGCGAAGCCTGCGAGACGCTAGTGCGTGCCTTTTCTGAAGCCAGGCAACCCAGGGGCCGAATCACCGGATGCACGAGGAAGAGAAACACGGCCGCGAGACAGAGACCTCAGCGAAGCGTCTTTGGTAGGTTGAAGGGGCCAAGGGCAGCTAAGCGCCGGCAACCTCTGTTCACAGACACAACGTCCAATCACAACCCCAGCATGCTCTTTGCAAGTTGCCGGGTCCTTTGGTGGGATCCAAGAATAGAGTCTCCTCCCACCAGTGAGCCAGCCAATCAAGCTCGTACTCCAGCAACATCCCCACGAGTCTCTTCTCTTGGCTCCATCAAAAAGACAGGCCATTTTGGACCGGGGCCCTGGCTCGATGCTCACTTGCGTTTCCTCTTCTTGCGCGGTGGCAGGTCGCTAGAGGGGTTTGTCAATGCTATCTTCCACCCTGCCGTCTTTCTGTTGGTTATCAAGATGGACTGAGGTCTTCGAGATCCGCCATCCGTGCCAGCGCGATGCTACCATCTCGGGCATCATGATGATCCCCCCTCCAGGTCTTGCTACTTGCGGTGTGCCGCTCCGGCCGACGAGATGTCGTGTCAGTAACACGCCAATCTAGCCTCATCCGATGAATGGAAAAGAAAGTCAGATATTGCGGGAGCGGAACTGAGGGAACAGCTGCAAGTTGCAGATAAGTCCGTCCAGATGGCAGACGCAGTTTCGTACCGGCACATGCATGCCTGTCGTGCAGTAGCACCCACCTGGTGCCACACTGGATGTCTCCTATATCTTCCCGTTCCATGCGCCCTCTCTTCTTCCAATACTACTGTTGAGCAATCAAGCCTCCTCGCCGACGCGAACGCAGAGATTGGGCAGACCCTCGACAATCATTAGCCGGCCACCACCCTCGTTCCTATCAGGTACATGGCTACGACAGCAAAGCCGAGAGCGAGCAAGCTGCTTGCTAAGACGTCGAGTGTCGACTACTAATACCTTGCCTTACGGTAAGGTACATGTAGTCTACACTATCAGATCCACCATCGCGCTTTTGCTCCGGGTCCCGGCTGCTATTCCTGTCCTCCCTCGTGCAAATACCTACGAATAACAACCCGCTCTCGCTTTCCTACAGACGCAGAGGGGCCCCTCTCCGCTCTCCCACTGTCTTTAATCCACCACCCAAGAACCGGGTGTCACAGGGGTCCTTCTTGCGGTGGGCGATCAAAGTGTGAGCCGCCACCCCCGGTACCCTCCTGCACGCATGTGGCATGTACGTGTGTACCACTCCGTATGCAGGAGGTTGACCACACTGCAGCAGACCCGGCCTAGCGTTGGGCGTCGCTTTTATCTACTGCCATCCTCCCACCAAACTTCATTCCCTCTGCTTCAGCCGCGCCCTCCCACCCGAAGGTGTGACACAATTCACCTGTCGGCTGTCCGCCCTCCCTTTCGGCTGTGTGGTACTAGTGTTTCTGGACATGAGATTGTCCTGCGACGAATCGAGTTGAATGGACCGGCAAAGAGCGTGAGAAGAAGAGACGAACGAGGTTGCGAGGTTGCTGGCTAGCTTGAGACCTTCCTTCTCATGCGAGTGAGCAACTCAGCTACCCTCATCCTCCTTGCATTATTCCGGCGTGGCTTCGGAATCCGACTTCTTCCAAGTCACCGGCGCCGCTCGAGTTGCCCGAAATCCTCATCCTAGCTGACAATGAGTAACCCTCGCGATCCTGCGCGGATGCGACAGGGGCTTAACCCATTGTTGACGCAGTCTTTGGGTTCCTATCACAGCCAGATCAGCACCCCACTGTCTGGAGTCTCTTCAACACAACTCAATTCAGCCCACACGCCCGCCAGCTCAATCCAACCTTACAACCCGCAGGAATGGATTGCTTCGCCAGCCGCTGGTGCTGAGCAGCCACGTCAATATCCTGAACAGAGTGAATATAGCCTTCAACTCTGACCCAGGTTCATCTTGCTAAAACAGTTGTGCAGGATCACCGCTTCCCCCGCCTCCATATAGTCCACCGCGGAGTCAACGACCCCAGAGTGGCGTCTTCGAGTCGTCACCGGCAGCCAACATATCGGCAGCCCGTATCCCTCCGACTAGTCTTCACAGACCCTCTCCCGAGCCGGCCACCAACACATCATTTCCTCCACCTCCCGGCACTCGAACGAGCTCCCGTGAACGACGTTTTGGTCTCCACTCTCTGAGGAGAAGCAGGGAGCATCACGAATCAAGTCCGCCCGAGCCGGTACCGCCTGTTCCGTCATTGGCAAGGCCGAACCCTCTTCAAATCCAGATCCCGCAGCCAGTGCCACAGCGTAACGATTCAGGCTCATCCGCGGGGCCTCCTGGAGCCCGAAGGGCTGCGTCTGCCAGTGCGCTTGAGACGCCGACGTCTGCCCGCTCACGCTCGACGTCTCAGACCAGGTGGGAGCCCGGCATGCCGCTTCCGCCACCGCCCCCTGGCCCGCCTCCGGCCTCGTCCAGATCGCAAAGTCTTCAGAGTATGCATAGAACAAGTACACCGATGGCATCACCACCAACGAGACGACCACCCCCAAGTGGCGTCACAGCTCTTGGCCCGGTACCTCCAACGCCAGCCAACTGGGCCGATCAACCAGACACGCCCGCTCGCCCTCCTCAAAATAGAGGCTCGCCCGGCTTGACGATCGACACCTCCAGTGCTGCAAGCTCTGTTCAGACAGGCGAGTCCAGTAACTCAGCTGCACTCAGCTCTGGAAGTCTAAGTCGCGCCAGGGCAGTCCGTCACGATAAGACCATTGTCCAGCGCCGTGCGGAAAGTCGTAACAGGTATAGCCTGCATCATAATTCCATAGACGGCACCATCAACCCAGTGCAGCTGAGCGAGATCGTCGTCCCGAACGACACCACTCTCACTCGTAGACTGACCATCAACAAGTCAACACCGAGAAGCGGAGGCCGGACGGCGGACGACACTCCTCGAACTGATGAGCAATCAACGACGCCTCGGGCGGGTGGCTCCGCTCAGCGCCCTCGTCTCGAAGCTGCGACTCCGCCATTCTCGCCTCATCCTGCCAAGAGCACTTCGATGGCTGGGGGGTCGCCTAGCGTGGTGCCGAAAGCCCTACCTACGCCGCCACCCCAGACTCGATCTGCATCCAGTTCGCAAACCAGGTTCAGGTCTATGACGCCTGCTGCGGATGGGCCCTCATCAGCTTCCATCTCAAGCACGAAACACTCCGCGATAACTCAGACAGCTGATCAATTCTGTCATGAAACGATTGAGCGGTTCCAGGCGTTCGCTGTCAAGGAATCGACTGCAGCAAGCGATGCCGACCGTGTGCGATTGTTTGCCGACTTTATCACGAGCGAATCACGCATCAGACGCGAGAGATATTCAGCAGCTATTGGGGCTATGGGTTCGGAGATCTTCGATCTCACAAGGGATCTTTTTCGCCCGATGGTCACAAGACGGGAATCCGGAGCCTCTCAGGCTGAGTGGACGCCGCAATCATCTGAGCCTACTCGATCTCACCGCGGCTCGCTGAATTCGATTTATCGCGAGACTCCAGGGGAATCTAGTTCTGCCCCGGCTTCTGCTGCAGCGAATGTCCCCATTTCACCTGTTGGCGGACCGCCAAACAACGCAAACTGGAACTCGAACTACATGCCATCGCTTTCCCCAATCTTGAGCATGAGCGTTAGTGACAAGCTGGACGAGGCCGATTCTAGAGGTCGTCCATCCAGCAGATGGTGGGAAGCCGACTCAACTGGGACAGGGGGCAAGCTAGTTGAAAGATCCAAGCGTGAATCCAAGTATATGGGCGTGCCGAAAGAAGCTCGAGAGGCTCTGCAGTGGATGGACAGTCCTCAGACGCAGGCAAACCCTAGCGACGGGCGAAGTTCCAGCGAGTATCCCCCGGAGAAAACGGGATGGCATGAGCCCGATTCGGCATCGACACCGCAGGAGCTGCGATACTCTGCACAATCTCTCGCTTCATCCGGCTCACCCACAACTCCAAACCCAGCCCATTTGGACGTGTCTCGCCTGGTCACCCTTCCGCCGCCCTATCCTCGCCACCACCCGGCGGTGAACAACAGCCATCCTGAACTGACAGAGACAAGAACTGCCGTTCGCCAACTGAGCGACCTCTCAGAGGTCGGAGTTACAAAGGAAAGGTTCCAGGTGACCAGCAACAAGAAGAGAGAGGAGGCATCCAAAGCTGCAGCCGAGCGCCGACAAGCCCTCAGAGTCAATCTTCAGCAGGAAGTTAACGTTGGCAACATGACATTTGCAGAGGCATCGGCCATTGAGCAAGATTCCGCGGCGGCGGAGAAGGACAAGCTCAAAGAGCTTGGAAGGACAGAGTTTGAGCAGTTCCAAGCTCAGGTTGTGATGCCCCTGAACGAGCTCGTCACTGGCCGAATCGCGAAAGCCACGACCTTCTTCGACAAGCTGGCCAGTGGCTTGTTCGACAATGTCTCCAGCACTGCTGATATGCCCCAAGAAGAAGGCGACGACAAGCCTGAGCTTCTCGAGAAGCTGACGCTTCTCAAATGGATCTTCGAGGCCAGAGAGATGTTACACCGGGCCATCTACGATGTGCTCACCGAACGCAACGATCGCTACCGAGAGGTCGTGCTGACGCCATACCGGCTCGCCGGCAATCAGGAGAAACTACAGAACGCTGTCGCTTTCTTTGCTGAAGACGCTGCTAAGCGCGAGCTGGCGTTCGCTCACGAGGTCCTGGCCCGTACCCAGGAGTTTCAGGCTGTCGTCGAACAAAATGTCATGCGTGGTGTCGAGGTGCAGCTCTCGGCATTCTGGGACATTGCGCCTCCTCTGCGCAGACTGCTGGAAAAGATACCGCCTAACCTGGATGATTTCAACATCCAAATACCGACGTCCGAGTACGAGGAGAACCCCTCGTACCGTGCACATCCACTACAATATCTTTTCAGCCTGCTACTACATACGGAGAAGAGTACATACCAATTCATTGAATCACAGACAAACCTCCTTTGCCTCCTGCACGAGGTCAAGGAGGCCGTTACGCATGCCAAAGCCAAGGCTGTGCAGAGCGAGGGTGAGGACGCAGACGGACGGGAGTACAGCGTCGAGGAGCGCGAAGCACGAGCGCAGCACCTGCGCCAGGAGGAAGGCCAGATGTTGACGGATGATTTGAAGGAAAAGGTGCGCGTTGTCCAGGACCAGTGGAACAGCGCCCTCGGCGAGAATATCAAGAACGTCAAACAGATGTTGGGAGAACATCTCCTGCAGACCGGAGGGTGGGATGAGACGCTAGAAGAAGGAGGCGTGGGTAGTGTCTAACCACAGACGGCAGTCGCGAGACTTGATGAAGATGGGTCATGATTATTTCTATCACAGACGTTGATACCCCTTTGCTGCGTATAACGACACTTTTATTAGATTCTTGTATATAGTTGAGCGTCTTGGGGTGGATCTTATGAAGGGTTAGAAGCGGCATGAAGACACGAAAACCAGAAAGCACGAGATGAGAATCAAGATTCGGTTGCGGTTGCGGCGTATCGCCCCTTTACATGTCATGTCAAATCATGTGCTGCCATCGCTTGCTCCCGTTCCGGGAGCGATACCTGATGTTTGTACCTAAACGCCTGCCATTTGTATTGTACATGTCTATATTAGCCTCAAAAATGACCTTTTCAAGACGCTTGGTTGTCGTAGAATTGTGTGTACGTCTGCCATGCCTGTCCGTTGAAGCGAAACCTCCGTGGCCATTCCATAGTGGCCGAAATGCCAATTTCTCACATTATTCGAACATCGCGCGGCAGTTCTTGAACGCTTCTCCTGCCACCCCGTGTGACATGCCACGCGGAGACGGGGTCTCTCTTTCCGAGAGTATTTCTCAGATCCGTCGTCATCTGGCCAGCGACTTATTTCAGGCGGTTCTTGAACTCCTTTGGCAAATCCATGCCGACCCTCCGAGCTGTGAGGCGCACTCGCTCCTCCTCGTCCATGTTCATGCCCGGGTTGTAGCGCTCCAACAAGGTAACGTAGGTGCGCTGAGCGCGGAGGTAGGCGGCAAATTGTTCGGCCTCGGCGGCGTCGGCTTCAGCTCGGTGGCTGAGTGTGGAGTCGGCGAAGCTGGCGCGCAGGCGGTGATGGAGAGGCGAGCGCTCGCGGGCCAGAACGGGGCGCGGTGGGAGCTCGCGCAGAAGAGATCGGTAGATTGAGCGGAGGCGCGATGCGGCAGCCATCGTGTTTGGCTATCCTAGAGAAAAGAAGACGGGCGAGGTGGTGTCGGGGTGGTCGACACAAGTGGCGGTGCAGTGAACGGAATAGGATTTTTTGGTTGCTGCGAAGTTGGCGATGAGGTCAAAAAGTTGTAGGGTGGAGCTTACCTTCAATTTTGAGGTGCTGCTTCACTGGCTGAAGGCGCAGGCCATCCCCCCGAAGGACCTTACTTAGGTACCTACCGTACCTACTCCAAAAAAAAAAAAAAAAAAAAAAAAAGGGNCCCCCAAAAAAAAAAAAAAAAAAAAAAAAGGAGGAAGAAGAAGGAAGGAGGGGGAGCCGACCCCGCGCCGGCACCGGCACCTCTGCACAGCTCAGTAGCCTGCAGTGGCATGGAGGGGTTTTCTGAATTCTTGAGCTCTGCCCCTCTCTCAGTCACAGCAGAGCACCAACGCATCTCCAAGTAACGCAGCCTGTCTTCTTCCTCGTGCAAGCGTATCAATAGTCCCCCTTTCCGAGTCAGGTCGTTTGTTCTCCTTGTGCATCCACCAAGTGGAGGACCGGAGAGAAAATTCGATGGTTCGTCCTCTTATGATAGGTACACTAGACGTACAAGCTGGGCTTCGCAGTGCGCATTCCTCGCAGTGCACCCACAATTGCATCCCAGAAGCCCACCGCGAGCGACGCACATGACGTATCAGCTTGGTCCCTGAGGTGTACCTACAGACGAAAAGCGGTATTCTCCTACATACACATCCCGCGTTTGCCAGCTTGTGCCTGTCTCCTCTTCGAATTCCATGCCCCTCAAGCCCGAGCCACAAAAGATCAAACAGAAACCCAGCTACGCATCCGTTCCCTTTCTCCTCTTCTCCTCCTTCATCGTCGTGACGCTGGCCATCCTGTCTTTGCGAGCCTTCCCCCGGCTCTCCCTCCTCTCGAACCACCTCGCCCTCCCCGCAAGCTTTGCCCCACGAGCCATCTTCTTCTCGACCAACGCCAAGAACCCCTCGCTCACCATGTCCTCGTACGCAAAGGAGCTCGAGGTCGCCCAGCTGGCTGTCCAGCGCGCCTCCATCCTCACCAAGCGCGTCTTCCACGAGAAGGCCAAGGGCACCGTCGACAAGAACGACAAGTCCCCCGTGACCATCGGCGACTTCGGCGCCCAGGCCCTCATCATTGCTGCCCTCCGCCACCACTTCCCACAGGACGAAATTGTCGCCGAGGAGGAGGCGGCTCAGCTGCGTTCTGACGCCGGCCTTCGCGACCAGATCTGGGACCTCGTCCGCACCACCAAGCTCGAAGATGCTCAGGCCGAGACCCTCCTGGGCGGGCCCATTGAGACCGCCGAAAGCATGCTCGACCTCATCGACCGTGGCAACAGCAAGGGCGGCGCCAGCGGACGTATCTGGGCCATTGACCCCATCGACGGTACCAAGGGTTTCCTGCGCGGTGGCCAGTACGCCGTATGCCTGGCTCTGATGGTCGACGGCGACGTCAAGGTCGGTGTTCTGGGCTGCCCCAACCTGCCCGTTGACGACAAGGCGCCTTTGACTGCCGACATTGGCTCCAATGCCACCGACAACACGGGTTACGGCGTCATCTTCTCCGCCGTTCAAGGCCAGGGCGCCACCTCGCGTCCCCTCCAGACCGGTGCCATCGCCGACGGCGCATCCATCTCCATGAAGCCCATTACCGAGATGTCGGCCGCAACCTTCTGTGAGAGCGTCGAGGCCGGCCACAGTGCTCACGACGACCAGGCTCAGATCGCCACCAAGTTGGGCATTACCAAGCCCAGCGTCCGCATGGACAGCCAGAGCAAGTACGGTTCCATTGCTCGCGGCGCTGGCGATATTTACCTGCGTCTGCCTGTCAAGGCGACATACCAGGAGAAGATCTGGGACCACGCGGCAGGCGATCTCATCGTGCGCGAGGCCGGTGGTCAGGTGACGGATATCCAGGGCAAGAGATTGGACTTCTCTGTCGGCCGGACGCTGGCAAATAATAAGGGTGTGATCGCCGCGCCAGCCGCTGTACACGAGACCGTTTTGAAGGTTGTCCAAGAGGTATTGAGCCAAAAGTCAAGCTAGATGGGGATAGATCTTTTTTGAATTTGGTCTCTCCAAGACCCAGCAAAATAAATAGTGTACAATAATGGGTCTTCCCTAGTCCATACGGTGATGTACAGGTATACACAGCCCTCTGGCCTGCCTCCCCCGTCGTTTGACACGCCGCAGCTGCTGTTGCAGTAATGCAGGTCGTGATACCACACACAAGAACAGCCGCCCCGCCACCAGTATCGCCGCTTATTTGATCTTCTTCTGCTTCAACTTGATCGTCTGGTCGTTGATGAACACACCCTTGCCCTTGTACGGCTCGGGCGGCCTCCACTTTCTAACCCTTCCAGCAAAGCTCATGATTTCTTCTCGGTCGATGCCCTCCAGCAAGATGCGTGTCGGCGAGGCGAGGGTGACCTTGACGCCCTTGGGAATACCCATCTCGACAGGGTGCGTGAAGCCGAGCTTCAAGCACAGAAAGTCCTGGCCCTTGTATTCCTCCTTGCCGCTGCGCTTCTCGACAGACGCACGGTAACCGATACCGACTAAACGCAGGAGAGCCGTGTGGCCTTCGGAGACACCCATGATGTAGCGCTGAAGATACGCCCATGTCGTGCCTGTGGTGGTAAACAAAGAATCAGTCCGTCGCTCTTTGACTTGTCAAGATACCTGCACGCAAGAGGGAAGCAAGCATCCCAGAAAGGTAGAGGTGGAAAGATAGAAAACTAGATCACTCACCCCACATCTCGCGCTGCTCCTTGATGTTGGAGTCCTCGACAGAGAGGATCGCTCTGCTAGACTCGGCATCCTGCTCAATTTTCACGAAGGGCTCGATCTCGAATTCCAGTTTGCCTATACCGAACACGATCAGCAAAGGCTTCGCTAGGCCCGTTATCCGGGTGCCCAATACGAACCCAGAGGTCCTGTGACAGAAACCGTCCTCTTGTACACCTTCAAGTAGCTCGTCGGGTCCCTTTTCAGCAGAGGTTCGCCAACCAATAACTCTACGCCAGGAGGAATTGACAGAGGCGTCCGGCCAAGTTTCGAGGGTCGGATGGGTGTTGCGGAAAATTGGCGTCGGGGCAAAGACTGCAAAGCCGGCACAAGAAATGCCGGAAGCGTCGTGGACGGCGAGGACGCCAGAGCCTGCCTCAACGCCGTTCCTCTGCTAGGAGCAAGCATTGTGGTCGTCGAATGGCGAGTTACCTCCCAGTTCGCGCGTATATGGTTTGCTCGATAGACGGTCGTGAGGGTCTTCAGGAACTTTTCCCATGACTTAGTCATCAACAAAGGACCCACTTCAGAAACTACTGCAATTGGCTGGTACCAGCTCAGCTTCGCTTGCAGCTTCGGTGTTTACGCCAGAAAGGTTTCCAACAAGTGATTTTCACAGAGAGAACTCGCGTTCTTACCTTCCTTCTTACATGGGTATGAGGGGGGATTCACAGTCATTGATATTGGCCAGTAGTTACAGAACATCGTCTGATTCTTCGTACTCGAATGATACGTCAGGCGTACTACTAAGAGAGGTATATCTAGAAGCCCATATTCTGGCAAAGCCAGAGTCGCGAAGCGAAATTCCACCACGGATGGAGCACATTGGTGGGTGTTGAGGGTGTGGCACTAGGCGTTAAGCAGTTGTTAGACTGTGCTTAAACCTCCTCCTCAAGAGGAGCCTCCTCCTCGTACTCCTCCTCCTCCTCGTCAACACCAGCGTCCTGGTATTGCTGGTATTCGGAAACCAAGTCGTTCATGTTGGACTCAGCCTCAGTGAACTCCATCTCGTCCATACCCTCACCAGTGTACCAATGCAAGAAAGCCTTGCGACGGAACATGGCAGTGAACTGCTCACCGACACGCTTGAACAGCTCCTGAATGGCGGTGGAGTTACCGACGAAGGTGGAGGACATCTTGAGGCCGCGGGGAGGAATAGAGCAGAGGGCGGTCTGGACGTTGTTGGGGATCCACTCGACGAAGTAGGAGGAGTTCTTGTTCTGGACGTTGCGCATCTGGTCCTCGACATCCTTCATGGCGACCTTGCCACGGCTAGAAGGGGAGTTAGCAAAATCATGGAAAAGGAATCATTCGTGTCAACTCACAAGATGGCAGAGCAGGTCAAGTAGCGACCGTTGCGGAAGTCAGAGGCAGCCATCATGTTCTTGGGGTCGAACATCTGCTGGGTGAGCTCAGGAACACTGACGGCGCGGAAAGAGTGGGCGCCACGGCTGGTCAGGGGAGCGAAGCCGACCATGAAGAAGTGGAGACGGGGGAAAGGAACCATGTTGACAGCCAGCTTGCGCAGGTCAGAGTTCAGCTGACCCGGGAAACGCAGGCAGGTAGTAACACCGGACATAACAGCAGAGACCAGGTGGTTCAGGTCGCCGTAAGAGGGGTTGGACAGCTTGAGGGTACGCATGCAAATGTCGTAGAGAGCCTCGTTATCAATGCAGAAGGTCTCGTCGGAGTTCTCGACCAGCTGGTGGACGGAGAGAGTGGCGTTGTAGGGCTCGACAACGGTGTCGGAGACCTTGGGGGAGGGAACCACGGAGAAGGTGGCCATCATGCGGTCGGGGAACTCCTCACGGATCTTGGAGATCAGGAGGGTACCCATACCGGCACCGGTACCACCACCGAGGGAGTGGGTGATCTGGAAACCCTGGAGGCAGTCGCAGCCCTCAGCCTCGCGGCGGACAACATCGAGAACCTGGTCGACGAGCTCGGCACCCTCGGTGTAGTGACCCTTGGCCCAGTTGTTGCCGGCACCAGACTGGCCGAAGACGAAGTTGTCGGGGCGGAAGAGCTGGCCGAAAGGACCGGCACGGACGGCGTCCATGGTACCGGGCTCCAAATCGACGAGGACGGCACGGGGCACGTACTTGTTGCCGGAAGCCTGGGTAGGAGCGAAGGTCAGTACTCGTCAATATGTTTATCTTGCACTCTTGGGGCTATAAGGTAACAAACTTCGTTGAAGTAGACGCTCATGCGCTCGAGCTGGAGCTCAGAGGTGCCGTTGTAGCTGTTCGAGTTTAGCGGTCAACCACCAATGTGGACAGATAAGGGGCATGACATACACTCCATTGCTGTCTAGGCCGTGCTCGCCAGAAATGTTTTGCCTATTCCATCGTCAACATCTGCCGTCCTCGCAAGTATGATATTGCCGGGTCGTCGGCGGTCTCGTCACGTACCAGAAGGCAGCACCAATCTGGTTACCCTGTACAAGGAGGTTAGCCCCGCAATCAGGCGGTTGGATTTGGCTTAGGAAGACTTACGCACTGGCCGGTCTGGAGGTGAACCTGTAGACAGAAAAGCAGCAGTCAGCAAAACATTCCAGACTAGGAGGTCGATGATTGACAGGCGTCGCGCGTTTGTTGAGCAAAGAGGTCGGGTAAAAATGTCGGCGGGGTACGCTCAGGGGCAGGGCGGATAAACGCGTCGCAAGGCGTTGTTGTGATTTGTGGTGATGGACTGCAACTTACAATCTCACGCATTTTGGATGATGAAAGACACTGAGTTGGGCTTGACCGAGGATAGGCGATGAGAAGAGCTTGAGAGCTACGCGCGAAGCTTCAAGTCGGACGTGGTTGGGGTGGAGGTGGATGAGGTCGAGAGGATAGGTAGGGGGAGAGGTTGTTGATTTTTGTTTGCGGGTGGATGTGATTTTGTTCACCGCCACGGGTCCGACACCACGCCAGCGAGGCCAGAGGAGAAGGGGTGCAGCTCGCTTGTTTGCTGCTTGGGCCCGTGCATCCCCGTATTTGGCATGGTCTCAGTGCAAGGCACCCGCCAGAGCCAATTGACGGTGGGGTTGGTTGGCCTTGGGTTGTGCACTTGAGGTGGCAGCAACCTACCTAAGGAGACAGCACTCAATTGGCAGGTACGTATCCGTTGGTCCCTGTATCCGTACCTACTTAAGGCATTGAGAAAAACCTCTGATACCTAAACTCGTTACTTTGCGATCCGAGACTCGGATCATCGACGAGAACTAGGCCTGCTGAGGCATCTGACTACCCACGTTCATTGTCTGGAGACTGGAGAGCATCCTGGAAGAAGCGCGACAACAGGAGCAGAGCGATTGGGGGCAGCCACGACTTCTCGCCGCTTACCGAAAGTCAATGTCCAATAAAGAGTAGCCTCGAATGGCATTGCTCGGCATTGGCCTCAAGCGCTCTTCAGAAACGCTAAATTGTGAGTGGGGCTTCGCCTTACAGGGGACTCCATTGCTCCAAATGAGCTTCCGGTGTGACCTGAGAGCCATTTCAACCTGCCAGCCTTATTGACCAGGGCGATCACAATCGGGACAGTATCTAGAGAACGGCTGTCTCTCCTGTGTCTACGGTACCAAAACCATCGTCCCCTGAGCTCAACCGACGATGTTAGTAGAAGGGCGACAGTATACGACAACACAGTGCCGACAGTATGAAGGGACTTAACTGTAGAGACAGCGAAAGAGAGACGGGAGCCTACAGACAGAAGTCGCCATAGCACGGTAAAAACAGGTCTCCGGTCTCAAAATACGAAAGCATATTGACAGGCATCAGACTTGCATTGCAACGCGACATAAAACCCTCCCTACGTTGACGACTGGTACGACTAGTGGGCCTTGACGACACCCGCTGCGTCCGCCTGCGCAGCGATTCTCTTCTTGTATGCCTGGACATCTCCTGGGAACTTCTCGACCGTTCCGCCATCACACACCCAGAGCGATGTGCATACAGTCTGCAGCATGGTGACGTCGTGAGATACCATGAGCACGCCGCCCTCAAACTCCTTCAGCGCATCCGCGAGAGCATCCATCGCTTCAATATCGAGATGGTTGGACGGTTCGTCAAGAACTAGGATATGCGGGTTGGTCAAGGCCAAGCACGCAAACGCGACACGCGACTTCTGACCTCCAGAAAGCACAGCCATCTTCTGCAGACCCGTCGTTCCCGTGATACCAAACGCACCCAGCTGTCTGCGATATTCTTCGTCCGTCTTTCCGGGGTAGGTCTTGGCCATGAAGCTCACAGCGCTCATCGTGAGATCCAGCGCATCAACGTGATGTTGGGCAAAGAAGCCTACACGCAGACGCGGGTTCTGTGAAATAAGTCCAGACGTAGGTGACAGTTTTCCGATCAGCAACTTGAGGACAGTTGTTTTACCTGCACCGTTGGGTCCGACAATACCGATACGGGAGTCCAACTGCACGTCGAGGTCCACGTTGCGCAGCAAGATGTTCTCCTTGCTGTAGCCAAACGTAACCCCTGTCATCTGGATGATGGGGGGAGACAGCTTTTCGACCTCCGGGAACTTGAACTTGACGCTGTACTCGGTCTCTGGCGGCTCCAGCACCGGCATCTTCTCCAACTTCTTGATACGTGACTGGGCTTCGGAAGACTTCGCCGCGTTGTAACGGAACTTGTCGATGAAGGCTTGGAGATGGGCTCGCTGAGCCATCTGGTTCTCGTATTCTCTCTTGGCGGTTTTCTTGCGCTCTTCGCGAGTTGCATAGAAGGACTCGAAGTTGGCACCACGGTAGTAGTCGAGACGTTGAGAATGCTGGTGGATGATGTCGGTGGCAACCTCGTTGAGGAAGGCTCTGTCGTGAGAAACAACCAAGACAGTGCTAGGGTATCCCTGGAGGTAGTTCGACAAGAAGGCGATGGAGGGAACGTCCAACATGTTTGACGGTTCGTCAAGAAGCAGCAGGTCGGGTTCACAGAAGAGCGCTCTAGCCAATGCGAGACGCATACGCCATCCACCGGAGAAGGTCTTGGTCGCGTTTTGCTGGCGTTCGGCGGAGAAACCAAGACCAGCCAGAATACTTGCAGCTCTCGATTCAGCCTTGTCGGACTCCATCTCTGCCAACTTGCCCTGGATGTCGCCGAGTCTGTTATCCAGAGCCTCTCTGTCTCTGTCGAGCTTCGCAGCATCTGCAGAAGTGTCCGCCAGTGACGCTCGCTGAGTCTCAATGTCTGAGAGTTTTTGTGTAATTTCCTGTGCCCAGTCAGCACCGTTACCCTGGGAGAGATTGGACGCCCATATTGCCGGCAACTCACAGCTTGCTCCTTGAGGAGGACCTTGCGCCAGACGTCGGCGTCGAGCACGGCTTGAATTGCGGGCGTGTCGTCGCCAGTGAGCTGGGAACTCGTCAGAAAGAGGGCATCCACGGTGCGTCTGACACGATCGTTCTTACCTCCTGCTCTACGTGAAGAATGGTGATGTACGGTGGGATCGGCAGCTCTCTACGGGACAAGGCGCGCAACAGAGTAGATTTACCAACACCGTTGTGACCAACGAGACCGTACCTGTGACCATATGCCAAGGTGAAGTTCGTGTCGGTCAGGATACGCTGGCCACCAATCGAGACGTCGACGTTGTCCAGCTTGATGTCTTTCGTCTTGTTCCCACCAGAAGAACCCAGCTGGAGCGGGTTGACTGCCATGTAGAATTCTTCGTAAGACTGAGTGGACTCCGGCTCGTTCAGTAGCTTGGATGCCTCATACTCGACGGTCTTGAACGTCTTCTTCTGTTGCTTGGCGGCAATCTTGCGCTCGGCCTTCTCGAGTTTCTTTCTGTCGACCTTGGACTCGACCTTGCGAGCATTGGCAGACTCTAGATCAACAGCACCGGTGGCCACAGCGAGGGTGGAAGATATGTTGCGTTGAGAGCCGACTTGGAAAGTCTGGTCGAGGCGCTTCACAGCCGAGGGCCCACTGCGCTGAGCCCCGTTTGCCTCGCTATACTTTTCAACCCATTTCTCGACGAGTTTCTCGATTTTCTCCTGGAGTTTGGCATCCGGCTTGCCAGAAGCTGAGAGCAACAGCTCAGTGACCGTGGAAGCGGCCTCAGCAAGAGGGGACGGCCCGGATTGCTCCTCCTCATCGGACCAAATGGTCGAGGCATGAGTCAAGTAGCCAACCGAGTACTCGGAGAGCACCGGGTCGATGTTGGGCAGGACAGTTCTGATTTCGGCTTCCATGCTGGGTAGAGGTTGACCACGATATACAACTTGACTTGAGTGAAAATTCCGAAGACGGATTCGCCAAGAGCACTGGCCTGGTATCGTCTTGTCGCCTTGAAAGTACAAGGTCTGGGTCACAGAGAGGCCTAGGTTGAGTATTCCTCGCTTGTCAAAGCTAGATCAGCGACTCAGCGTTGTGTTGGCTAGCGTTCGTGATATCACAATTCGCCTGGGGCTCAGAGCGTCAAAATGTGGGACTGAGAACTGTACCCAGGTCGTGGTGCCACGGCCCTGATCCAATGTGAGTAGGTACTGAGGTCGAAACCTACCCCCACTATGTAGGAAGAACTTCGGTCCGGGAAATTTTTCGCTGACCTCCACCTAACCGAGCAGTACCTACCTGTAACCTCAGTCAATGCAAGGTGCTGTTGTGCTCAGGGCATTGCAGCCGATTACAGTCAGCATCGCCGCAGCGTCAACTGGCTGCCAAATGCAACCACGGCCGGGCCCTGCAGCGAGCACGTCGCACTCTCTGGTTTTCTTTGAACACTGCTTCTCTGCTAAAGATGGTGCCACTGTCGATTCTAAAGTAATTCTATTACCCCTTGCGGCATCTGCTAGTTACAAGGCAGCTCAGCATCATTTCCAAGTCGGACACACGCCATCTCGACACCGGCAGTGCGGGTAAGTCAACGAGCGGCTGGCCCGAGCCCATGGAATCGGACAAGACATTTGGGTAGAAGGAGCTTCTTTGAATCAGAACGAGTTCACCATTTGCCTGTGCTTCCTTGTCACACTAGGGCAGCTTTTTCGAAAGGCAAAAGCCATCGCTGTCACCAACATTACATCGCTGCTCGTTGATGAAACCTCTGGGTCTCGATCCACTGGAGGCGAGCTGAACAACTCTGCAGAGCCTAGCTCGGACGACAAGAACGAAATGGGATTGTCAACAGTGTTGGCTGCGGGCCGGGTACCCTGCCCTTGACGCGATATGGCGATATGCGGAGCTTGACGACCGCGTCGCAGGCTTTGCGCGTCTGCAAGTCAATCGTTCGTTATCGCGCCAGCAGTGGCTCAGGACAGCACGCGAAGACGTGCCGGGAACTATCTGATGAGTGGCGGCCAATTGTCAGAGCCTGAGAACCCAATACCTTGTGCCACCAATCGACACCTGCGTAGACACTGCCGCAGCCCAACTGCCATAGGCACGTGACGCCACACGTCACTACATGTACCTTCTCCAGGCAGTACCAGCAGTTACCAATCCAAGCATCCTACATCCCACTCTCGTTGCACCAACAGCGATGAAAAGAACAGGCTGCTCTTGCGCCATGCTACGCCACGCACCGAAGATCTGTCCAGGGATCCCAGCTTTCACTTAACGTTATCCCAATGTTATTGCCGCCTCGACCAATGTCTCAGAACAGCATCTCAAACCATCTCGCATCTTCCTGCTTGGTCATACGTGAGCAAGCAGGACCAAGTTCGCTGGGCAACATGGCCGAGATGTCTCGGATCGAAATGAGCCACGAGTACGATGGCGTC